CCCCAAAACCCCAAAACCCCAAAACCCCAAAACCCCGTCGATATAGATTAATGTAAAAATAATAGGCGTTAATTTTAAAAACAGAAATGAAATAATCAAGATCTCAAATAAGTGAAAGGGATGCTGATTTATTGCCCACCTTGCAAGAGAGATTGCTTCCATCATCTGGCAAAAATTATGAAGTAAATATTTCCAATTCAAAAGATTATTTCAGAACGAGAATGATTCATCTTTAACCTCAATTGCTACTTAAAAATCACAAGGCTAACTTACGATTTTCGACTACATGATCTTAACCAGCTTCACTTTAATGAGATTTTCGAGTTTTATCATGTATTCTGGCTTTGGGTTTTTCTTCGAAGAACCGCAAATCTTCTACTGTAGCAGGAGTAAAACTTACTCAGAAGCAGCAGTGTGGGAATTATGCGAGCTAAAGGAGATTTGCAAACTATCACCTGAATAATACTTGATACCAAGGCTCTCTTCTAATATCAGAAATTGGTATATTCAGCTGGGGTTAAATTGTCACAACGATGTATTCTATATTGGCATAAGTGCATCTTTATTTCTTGGTGGCATGCTGCTTGAATAAATGTATCTAAGATCCAATTCTGAAGGGTTTAATCGAAGGTTATATCTTATTCTAACAAATTTTGTGCTAACTTTGATCTATGGAGTATTGATGAACACGGAGAGTAAATTTATCTTTCTAGGGTGTATGTTTTTAATGGGCTTAATGTACTCTGCCTAAGAACATATGGGCTAGCATCTAATCAATGATTAGATACAAAATAAGAACCTCTAAGCATTCTGGCTATTGAATAAATTTTTAAGATGTCTCGCTCCAATGCTGATAGTATTTGTATTCAAGCTATAAGATACTGCTCTTGTTGAAATTATCTACTCACTCTTACTAGTTCAATTAATATGCTTAGTCCTAAACATAGCATTACCAGAGGATGATGGCGCTGGCTATTCTATGCTTGATGATCCAAGTCCTAAGAAACTCAAAGCAAGTATTGATGATGAATAGATGAAGTTTTTCAAAGCCTAGCATAAAAACTTTAAAAAGATGGTTAAAAAGATAAATGCTGCGAGTGATAACAATTCTATCAAGGAGTTAGTATTTATAGTCATCATGATTTCCAGTGTGCACATGTGCAATACATCCCTCAATTTTGGAATGAATAACGTTATAGGGTCATTGTATCTTAATACGTTTACACTTTCATTGGCAGACATTATTGCTCTTGTTTGGAGTTAAGTAGATGTGGGTATTTAAAAAGTGAGATTTATATATATGGTTTCAACTTTATTATCAATGGTAACCATGATTATAATGGCAATCATAATTTGTTTACCTAAAATAATGGCTTAGAGCCATTTAGATTAGAATGATTATATAATTGCAATCCTAATTCTGCATTTGAAGTTGGCTTTGAGCATTAAGCTAAACTGGATAGAGGATTAATCAGAAAAATTCTATGATAAAAAAGGCCTTTACTTTGATGCACACAGTGTAGCTGATAATGTATAAAGGTTTGCCTGCCTTGTTATACCTATTATATCATAGTTAAAGTATAGAATGACAGTTCCATTCCTAATGATCAGTATAAATTTATTCAGCTTTTGCCTCTCGCTTTTCAACTACTATTAATCAACTCAATAATGATTTTATTTTTTTATTAACTAAAAAAATCATTTTTGCCAATATGGGGTTTTGGGGTTTTGGGG